GAGCTGTTTGAAAAGAGCTGATAAATAGAACTTATTGGACCAGATGTAAATACTGGACTGGAAATACAGGAATCCCTAATCTGGAATGCAATGCTGTTAACAACAACAACAACAAAAAGGGTAACATTCCTTAGTTAATGTTTTTACGATAGTATTACTATTGGCTTTTAGGGAATCTTTTTAATCAACTCTATGGAACAGAAATCGTTCCTGAAATTTGGCCGAATTCAAACGTTATTACATTACTCAGAAAGGAAAAGGCTGGCACTTGTGATGCCTAGAGAGGAGTAAGCTTTACAGCCACCATATTATCTTTAAACCAACCAATCAACAAAAACATGGCAAATTTCTGAGCTGTGTGAAGACGATAGGGATTCAGAGGAAGTTTTAGAACCAGAGAAGCACTGTTCTGCCTATACATACTTGTGGGCAGATGCTGTGACATGGACTTTATTGGTTACGTGAAAGCACTTGACGAAGTCCAGCGTGGCAAGCTGAAAGAGACGTTGGTAAGCAAAGGCTTGATTCAAGATACAGTATAACCATATAATTGTCAACCTGTGCGGGAATTTGTTTCCTGACTATGACTCCTGGGAGAAGAGCCAGCTTGTGTGGCCTTGGGCAAGTTGCATAATTCCAAGGTGTTACCAGAAGAAGGGAATGGCCAACCACTTCTGTACCGGTAATTCCAAGGTGTTACCAGAAGAAGTGAATGGCAAACCACTTCTGAGTACTCTTTACCTAGAAAACTCTGAAAGGGGTTGCCTTAAGTCACAGTTGACTTGATGGAACATGATTATTATTATCAATGGTAACAAAAAGCTGCAGTGAAAGTTGAAATTCAGATGACAAAGGATACAGTGGATGATGTAAGGACAATAATGACAAAGATCTATATACACTGGTGTTTAATGTTATTCCGAATGTATTTTTAAAGATGTACTTACTGATTCAAATGACACTATTATTGTTGGTGGGCAGGTTATCAATAACATCCAATATGTAGCAGATACAGTTTTACTAACTGACAATGTACATGGTCCAGAAAAGTGACTTATCAAAGTCACTGACCTAAGTAATGAACACCATCTGAAAGTGAATGTTAAGAAAATCAAATTAATGGTAATCAGTAAAAAAAAAATGAGCTTAAGAAATGCAGTTAAATATAATTTTTTTGAAGAATTCAGTGTTTTAGAAAACATAATTACCTTGGAATATTATTTGAATAGGTAGTGGAGTTATAGCCAGAGCTGAGATAGACCACAGAAGCTTCCTAAGATGAAGAATATACTGTACAACCAAAACTTAAAATGGGCTTTGAGAATGCACATTCTATGGTGCTATATTCTCAGTCCTGCTGTCTAGTATAGAATCACGGATTTCAATGCAAGCAAGAAGCACTAGACTTATGGATTTATTGCAGTATGCTGATAATTTATTGGATCAAGAGAGAGACCAACAAAGAAATACTATAGCAAATGAATAAAGACTAAAGCCTCGTACATGCATAACATTAAAAAAACTAGAATACTCTGGTTATGTACTAAGAAACAAAAAGTACATTTGCTTAGAATTAATAATTTATGGTAAAATAAATAGGAAAAGAACTGTATGAACAGAAGGACCTATTAAAGATCCTTGGAGAATGGTTTGAATGGTATACAACATAATTGTTTAGATCTGCCACATCCAAAGTCAGAGTGGACCTTATGATGTCCAACCTCCAGGACAGGAACAACAAGAAAACTAAACCCTACTATTCTTCTTCTTCTACTACTACTACTACTATTAAACCCTACTACTACTACTACTACTACTACTACTACTACTACTACTACTACTACTACTACTAAATGGGGAGAGGTCATCAACATCAAAATGTAAGAAAATCAATTCTAAATGCATTGGCAGGACCAACAATGTTATGTTATTCCAAAATCCTAGGGCTATAGTTCACTCTTGCCACATAGGCAGATATGTTACCTTAATTATGCAATCCTTCTTACAGAAGCTAGATCCATTATGGTGGGATATTTTCACAAGACTCATGGAACACATGCTTACAAACTGTCCATTCTCCAATACTGACATCAGTCCAGGGGTCAAGTTATTTGGCCGCATTCCATTTCATATGTTGCTATTCCATTGCATTTGTAACTCATCCCTGTCTTACTTTTTCATATAACGGAAATATATTTCACATAATGAGTTTGACAAACTTGAAAGAGTTGTACAATGCAAATAACTTGTTAGGAGTAAGTCCCATGAGTTCAGTGGGGCACCCCCATGTAAGCGTGTACAGGACTGCAACCTCAGTATATTTTTTTGTATAGAATACAAATTATACCTTTAGAGACCCCTGATTTCCAAGAAGTACAGCCAAATACCTCTTTAAAACTGTCCCCAAGGTCATTGCTACAAAACAAAACAAAAAGCCCTGGGGATTTAGTAATGATATAGTGGTAGTTATAAAATCCCCGTGGGACCAGAAAACTCTCATAAAATGGTTTTCTACAGGTCTGAAGGTAAGGTTTAAAAAAAGAGAAGAGAACATTTGGAGTGACTAACAAAATGTAATGTATAATAAGGTTCCCCCACCTTTTCCCATTTTGCAGACATTAATAGAGAACAAAGACACAACTGTGTCAGCCATAAAACAAAATCCAATATCTGTATTGTGCAACATCCATATTACGCAAGCCACCTGCAAAAGTACAAAATTGTGTGCAAACTTCAAACAACACAAGATCTCCACATTGAGTAAGGTGGAGCAAAAACTGAGGGAGGGAGAGTCAGAGAAAGACACAACAACCACAAGCACAACAGCCACAAAAACAGATCTTAAAAGTCCTTATGATACCACCATGTCTTGAGTTATAATAGAGGAAGAGGAGGCAGCAGGTAATCAAATGTATCTGTGTCAGGTGAGGAATTGAGGATAGGTTATAGCAGGGAGGCCACTTTCCTAACTGATAAAACAGAGGCCAAGAGAGTTTGTTCTTTTATGTGCCTCCCAAATTGTTTCTGACTTACGGTGATCATATGAATTAACTACAGTACTTCAAAAGGTCCTATCATGAAAAACTCTACCCAGGTTCTACAAATTCAAGGCTACTTTTATTGAGGCAATCCATCTCATGCTGAATCTTTCTCTCTTTTTTAACTGTCTTCCACTCTTCCTAGCATAAGTGTTCTTTCTAGACGATCTTGTATTCTCATGATATGTCCAGAGCCTCTATTTAGTCATTAATTAGAAGTATGAGAGGGTTTTTATAAATAAAATTTTTTGATCTACACTCTCATAGTATCTGTAAACATCTCCTGCTACACAGTATTTCAGATGAACAAACTGCTTTCCTGTTAGTTTTTTTCACTGTCCAGCTTTCACATCCATACACAGAAACAGGGAGTAGCATCTTTACCCTTCACGACCTTCTCTAATTCCTTACTAGCTGCCTTCATGTGTCTTTCTTTATTCCCTGGAAAGGGTAGCCAGAAGTCAGATTTGACTTGGCAGCATATATTTATTATTTTATTTTTATTACAATCTTCATAGCTTAATATAAGTCTTAGTGCACAAGCTCCACACATAAATCACAAACACTATCACAGTGCAGAAAAACTGTACCCCTATTAGCAAAGTCTGAAGCAATTTTTCAAGATGGGCAACAAAAGGCTTCCTTAAGCTAAGCACATGGAACTTGTCAGAAATCATAACATCCAAAGGGCTGACAACCCAAAGTTCCATGTACTTGGGTCAACAATCAAAAAGATGATTAGTTTTAAGGAAACATTTAAAAGTATATGTCCGGATCTGGCTCACACTGCCCTGGCACCTGCAGGATCAGGGCCAGCCTGACCCAGGAATTGCCTGGTGTTTGCAGGCTCAGGCCCTGGCCTGTGTAGCAGCTGCTGGGCCACTCATGAGGCTCACCTGGAAACCTGGAGGGACGGCCTATTGAAGGAGTGGTTCTCCCTCCCAGAACTGGCCTTAGCGACAAAGGTCTTTGGCTATGTGGTCTCTTCCTAGTGCCTTGCTGCTCCTTGAGCACCTGTGTTCCTGCATCTGTTTTTGCTTTGCCCCTGCTTTTGCCTCCTGCATCGCTGTGTCTGGACTCCAGTGTTCCTGTTCCTGCGTTGCTCTTGCTTATGTCTGCTAGTCTCCTGCATCTTGGTGTTTCAGCCCTGGGCAGCTGTAAGCAAATGGAATGCATATTCCATGAAAGTCCATGTAAGCAGATGCATTTTCAACTACTGTTTGCTGGACTGAAGTGTGGAGATAATATGATCCCTGGCAGAAAAGTGTTCTGTAAGTGGGTTGCCATCACTGAGAAAAGTCGGCCACACCACTATGGGCCCCATAGTACTCTTGGGGATCTGAGGCAGAGCTTCCTCTAGCAGTTCCTCATTCTCAATTGACTGGTAGTGGGTCAGGCAGTCTTTCCAATATCTGGCTCCAAGTTGCTTAGAGTTTTATTTATTTTATTTTATTTATATCCCACCTATCTGGTCTTGCGACCACTCTAGGCAGCTTTGTACAGTGGTGCCTCGCACAACGAGTGCCTCACACAATGCTATGGGGAAGCACAACGATGTCCCTTTTCGCTCCTGTAAAAGTGCCTTAAACTGTTTGAAAAGTGTTTTAAATCCTTGCTATCATTAGCCCACCTCCTGAAACCTATGCAAACTTAATTTGGTGTTGTTCTGAGGCGTCCTTGATTTTTTGTTTTCTCCATTGAAAGCCATTGGACGGTCTGTCCAGTGGCTTTCAATGGAGAAAACAAAAAAATCACCAAAAATTAACAAAGACTCAGAACAACACAAAATTAAGTTTGCATACGTTTCAGGAGGTGGGCTAACGATTGCAAGCATTTAAAACACTTTTCAAACAGTTTAAGGCACTTTTACAGGAGCAAAAATGGACTTCGCAAACCCATTCAAATGCATTGAGTCGGCTTCAATGCATTTCAATTGGGGAACCGCGTTTCCCTCAACGATGTTTCCTATGGGGATTGTCGCTTAAGAACGGCAATCTGTTCCAATTGGAATGGATTAACCGGTTTTCAATGCATTCCTATGGGAAATGGTGTTTCACAGAACGATGTTTCACAGAAAGGTGTTTTTTTTTTTTTGAACCAATTAACATCGTTGTGCGAGGCACCACTGTATAATGCTAACATCTTGAACTGGGCCCAGTGTCTTACTGGAGTCAATGAAGAGATTTTGGAAGGGGTGTAATAGAATCAAACGCTGCTGCCCTTCTCATCTGGGCAGCAGCACTCTGCACGAGCTGTAGCCTCCAGGCTGGAAATCAAATAGTCCATGCAGACAATATGCTAAGACACTTCAGAAGAGAGACTGCTGTGGCTGGGTTATCTGGTCCAGGAACGGCTACAGCAGGTGGACCAAGCCTTGTTGGTCTGAAGTGCTCCTCACCACTGAGGTCTTCCACTGACGGCTAGAAACTGAGGAATCTTCTCACCGAAGAAGTGGTATCGGATATCAACACAGAATGAAATAGGAGCTACTGTATATTCATGCCGAATACTTCTCCTGACCTCTCTGGTGGTTTTGACCGAGTTTGGTGCTGTCGATAGCTAGTTTTGTTGTCGCAAGCCCACCCTTTGTTAAATAGATCTGTACAGAAAAGTGATTTTTATTTCAGGCTTTAAACACTGTGCCGGAGAAACCTTTCCAGCAGTGTTTGCCACTCCTTGAGTTTAGGGTAAATTGATGGGGCTTGGAATAGAAAGTTAAACTTAGGTACTGCAATCATTTTAATTGCACCTATAGAACCAGCCCCTCACAATTTTATTTCCTTCCATGTATTCAGTTTTTCCCCCCTGAATAAGTGAAGCTGGGGAGCAAAATTATTGTTATAAAGCTCAGACCAATTATCAGTGCTCTCAACACCAAGTTATCTCCAAGGTCTACAATTCTTTTTCTAGGGGAAACAGAATGCAGTTTCTAAGAATATTGCCTGTGATATTAATTGCCATGGCTTTTGGAGTCTTCTAATTAAGCTTGAAGGCTGAGGTCTTGCATGGTTTCCTAGGGCCCGAACTAGGGCGGGCAGGCAGGCAGGAAGGAGCTCTGTGTCTGGACCTCCTATTTTTTCCAAACAGCTTAACAAGAACAGCAGGAGTGAGGTGGGTGTGAGTCCAACTGGGGCCATGACATGGAGAAGGCGAGGTGAGCACTTTCCCCCTTGCTGCTTTGCATTGAAAATCTGCCCCACCCCAAAACATGCACACTACTATTTGCCCTGCGGAGGAACATGAGCATGTACCTATACAGTACCTGTATATTTTTCTCCATGGGGCAAATAGCACCTTTCGGGGGACTATTGTCATTGAGAAAACAGTGCAAGCTGGAAAGGTACCTCTGGCCCCAGCAGAACACACTTCCTGCCAAGGGATGCTAATAAGCGGTTGAAGGGAACAGTGGGAGATCCAAGCATGGATGTCCCACTGTCGCTTCTCGTAGCTGCACCCTGACTCTCTGCAGCAGGAAAAGCTTTGATTCCAGATCAGACAAAAAGAACGTTAAACATTATCTGGGGTTGCGGGGGAGGGAAAGAAAGGTTACTAAGACATTGCATTTATCCAATAAGCTCCCTTTTGGCTGTTGTCGCTTTTGCTTGTATTAGATTTCCTACGCTGTACCTAGGGATAGAGGTTGCCAGATGTAAAAGGAGAGCCCAGACACTCCAACTGTAATACTTGTGCAGTAGCGGTAATGTTATCAGGTGCAGCTTTTCTGGCCCCTTCCTGATTAGCTGGACCTGCCACTGTGCCCTGTTCTGCTCCATCCTTTAAAGAGCAAAAGCCATGTCCTGTGAGCCCAACCGTAAAATCCCAGCTGCATTAATGTGAGAGAGACAATGGGTGGAAATGGACAAAGCTACTTAACAGGAAACCCCCCCCCCTCACCCTTCCCTCGGCACCAAGCACAAGGGCTTTCTTACTTCTCCAGTAGCAAATTGGTACACGCTGTGCGGAACATGTTGCCACTGAGTGGTTTCTTGTGGATAAAGGCTATTGTCAACTAATGCCATTTGGCACTCTGCAGAACGATGCTACAGTGCAGAAGTGGGCAGCCGGCAGCCTTTGGCCATCTCTGTGCTGAGGGCAAATAAAAGGCAGCAGCATCCTTCAACATTTGCTTTGTAGGTCCTGGATGTTGCCTGCTGGGCTAGAAGAACCAGAGATATGGTCTAGTGTGGCTATTGTGTATTGGGTAAACTGGGGGGGGGGAGGGGAAGGTTTATTCCCCCTTTGTCTTTGGTAAGATCTGTTTTTAAAAAAACCCATGGCCTAGGGCAGCGTTAAATTCATAAACAAAATGGAGACAGAAAGATAAAGAGGAGGGGACAGAGAAAGACAGAATATTTTCAATGCTTTACATTTTCCAATAAATTAATGGAGTTTAGAAAAGTATTTTTTGCACTACAACTCTCAGAATCCACCAGCCAGCACAGCTAGCAACTTTTTCTGGTTCTGTAAGGAATTAAATGTCCCCTTTCAGAAACAGTCCGGTATCAACAACCCTCTTTGCCCATTTCCCACTTGCACTCCCTTGCCTTAATTACATCTCGGTTGCTTCTCTTCTTACTTTAGCCAGCACCAAAAAAATTAGGGTCCTGGCTCCATTAACAATCTGCCATCACCCCGGTATACCTAGGTTCATGCTTCTCCCCTTTCCCCTTATGGAGTAACTAAAAAAAAGAGGCCTTCATGGACATTTGTAGGCAAAAGCCTTTGCTGCAGACGCTGTTCCTAGCCTTGCTTTTCAGACTCCTGCGGTGAGTCTCTCTCCGTCTCTCTATCATAACTTAGATTATGTGGCAAAACACACAGCGAGATCATAAACTATTTCAGCCAGCCCGAATAGCCTTTGCCTGCATGCCTTCAACCCCATCACCATGCAGCCGGCTGCCTAGTCCCAGCGGGGAAAATGGGTGAGTGTTGGCAGCATTCTGC